TTCTGGATCTGAGCATGTTGTTGTTGTCGGGTGCCACTGAAACGATCCCAACTCACAGTGACCACATGTGACAGAGCAGAACTGCCCCACAGGGGTTTCCTGGCTGTGATCTTTGATTTATTTATTTATTTATTTTCAGCTCTGACTGCAGACAGCCTCCAAAGAGGAGTTCTCCATTCTCTTCTCTGGGTTTTATGGAGACTTACTGGACCTTTGTGTGTTAACCTTTTAAGGTATGGAAGAGATCACCAGGTCTTTCTCCTGCAGAGCCACTGAGTTGGGTTCGAACCACCAACCTTTAGGTTAGCAGCCGAGCACTTAACCACTGAGCCACCAGGTCTGAGCACAGTGACTTAAAATGGTGAATCAAAATACTTTCCCTCTATCCACAGATATCCCCTGAAGCATGACAATTTTTTAAAGCCTGATATGTGAAAGTGTTTGCCATTCAAAAAATAAAGCCAGGCTGCTCCAGTTTCTTGAAATAGCAGAAATAAAGTATCCCCCCCGGCAAGTTTCCAATGTGAACCGGTATCAGAGAAGCACCCATTAGAGAACCAGGCAAAGCCCACCCAGGGACCAGGTAGGGGAGAAGCGGAGGAGGACCAGCTGCAGAACTACAAGAGCAGCAGGAGTGTAGCGGACACTGAATGACGGCAAAGTCTCCCAAAAAGCAAACTCAAAAAGCTTGATTTCTTGTGAGAGCCGTGACATGAACAGATATATGTACACCTATGTTCATCGGGAGCTCTGGTAGCATAGTGCCTAAGGCACTTGACTGCTAACCAGAAGGCTGGTGGTTCAAACCCACCAGCCACTCCTCGGAAGGAAGATGGGGCAATCTACTTCCGTAGTGATACTGCCTCGGAAACCCAAGGAGGGGTTGCTATGAGTCGGGTCCGACTCGACGGCACATAACAACAACAACATGTTCATCGCAGCACCATTCACAACAGCCAAAAGACTGAAACAACCTAAATGTCCATCCACAGAGGCATGGGTCAACAAACGACAGTACAGACACACAAGGGAATACTATGCAACGCTAAAGAGCAATGATGAATCCGCAAAACATCTCACAGCACGGATGAACTTAGAGGACATTATGCTGGGTGACATTAGTCAATCACAGAAGGACAAATATTGGGTGAGACCACTATTGTAAAAAGTCAAGAAAAGGGTTTCACAAAAAAAGAAGTATTCTTTGATGGTTACCAGGGGTGGGTGAGGAAAGGAGCGTAAAGTACTAACTAGATGGTAGACACATACTAACTTGGGTGAAGGGACAGGCAAAGAAGAAAAAACCCCCAAACCTCGATATTTCTTGATTCACTTAATTGTGACATGATGAAGCAAAATTACTTACCTATCTCCAAATCTGCACGCTCCTGTTTTACTGTAGAATGGACAATAAGCTCGATCTTTCTCCATTATTCTTACATCCAAGGGAGGTTCTGGGTTTTGCCATGTGGTACTATTTTCCAACTATTAAAAATAACCATGACTTTAATGGTGGTGTAAAGATCCATGAAAAAAGTAAATGTCTAAAAATGTATTCAAATATTTTCATCAATTCATTTAAGAACATGCACATTTCAATTGTAACATGCTATCAACACCTGTTTTGACATATTTCCCGTGGTTAGGCGTCACTACTGCTACCAGCTTTCCCTTTTGTCCATCTAATCTGAAAGAACAGGGCTTATGAGGCAACCACCCCAAACAGCAGTATAAGTAACTCTGATTCCAATCAAATGGCCCTTTGCGGGGTAACAGATAGTATGCGGTGCTGCATCCAGACAGTTTAAGGACTACAGGCAGGTGCAGTCCACAGGGGTGATTCAACGCCATTTGTTTCCGTTCCTCGCTAACTTTTGTTCCTGTTGCATAAATAGCAGAGCCATGTGTAATCCAGATAGTCTAGCACAAAACTAATATGACTTGAAGTATTGTTTGTAAACAAACATTAATGGGTCTCAAATTCTTAATGCAAGGTTTTGGACATACCTCATTTGCAGCCTGATCCAGCATCTTCTGCACAGCTTCCTACAAATGGTGCAAACATAGGACTAATGAAAACCTGGAAGGCACTCAAGTCGCATCTGGTTTCTCTGGTTAAGAATCTAATGTGCAATAATTTAAAAACAAAACCACACATACAAAAGCCTTCAAGCTCAGGTGTGCTTTCCAAAGACATACAGCGGAGAAGTTTTATCGAAATAGAAAAGGTCATAGATCACGTTGTAAAATATTTCAAGTAAATTCCTAGAAATAGTTTAGTAACAGCAATGTTTCGTATGTTTGAGTGTATATATCTCATTCTAGTTCTTAAGATGAGGCATTAGTGAATATTATAAAGCACAAAAAATGAAACTAAAATGTAACACGGAGAGTAGTAATTATGATTTGGGAGATATTGCCAACTTTTTGATAAGCCAAAGGAAATCCTGCAATGACAGTAGCTGGCATTTCAATGAGTTTTAAGTTATTTCAACAGACTTCTCTTCCCTAGCGCCTTCAAGCATTACATTAAAGTCTCATACATGGAGTTGCTTGTTAACTGTCCCTCGTCACACAAGCGTCCTCTTCAACTAACACACTCCCAACAGAACTTCTGCTCTCTCCTACCTGCTCCCACCTAAATGCCTCATCTCAGGCAATGCTGCTGCCATTTTCTCACTTGCTCAAACCAAAACCAAAGAGTGTGAATCCAGTTCCTTCCTTCCCCACAGCCAACCTACCAGTTGGAGTCCTGCCGAATCCATCCACACCCACCCCAAATCTGTGCACAGAGCTTCACTAATCACCCTGCAAATCCAGATCCCTCTCTTATCTGGAACAGCAGCTTTCTAACCGGTCCTGTACGTCCTCTGTCACCTCCTTATTCACTGCTCCCGACCCGTAGTGTTTACAGAGAAGTTAGAATGATGTGCTAAACACACAAATTATATGAGATCATTTTCTGCTTAAACCCTTCAGTGGCTTCTCATGACACTTAGCATGAATTCCAAATTCCTCACAGTGGCCCAGAAAGTCTCACAGGGTCTGACCCGCCCACTTTCCCAAGCCCACCTTAGGTTTCAGGCATCCTGGCCTTCTTCGAGTTGTGGTCCAGGCCTGTCTCCTGTGCAGAGAAGCCCTCTCCCTGAGGTCCCTGCACTCAGGTGTCAGCTCACACATCACCTCCTGGGAAAAGTCTCCCTTGACTATGCAACCTACAGGAAGATGTCTCTGCCCCCGTCACTATCGTGTCACCCTCTGCTTTATTTCTACATGGCACTTAACACCATGGAAACATCCTTTTGCTTACTTTTTACCCTGCTCTACCACCTAAAACACTAACTCCATGAGAGCAGGGACCGTCTTTCTCACTATTAGAAGTGAAAAAGCGTCTAATACACCACTAGAAGAGTCTAACACACAACAGAAACACAGATTGTATACATCGCTTTATGCATTTAGAATCTATCAGTGAGGAAAAAAAAAATCTACCAGTGGCGTCACTAGGGTTGGTGTCACCCAGTGCAGTAAGTCATGGTGCCCCCGTCATGGACCTCATCCCACACCAAACCATACAGAATCCTTAGTAATGTTTATTATCAATTTTAATCGTGGAATAATGTGATAAATACAGTATCACTACGGAAGTAGATTGCCCCATCTTCCTTCCAAGGGGTTCTGGTTAGCAGTCAAATGCCTTAGGCACTGAGCTACAATTGCTTAAATATTTCTTGGATTATATGAATACTAACAGCAAAATTGTTCTGTAAAGTCTTTCTACACTGAATTACAACATTAGTGAAAACATTATTAAGAGCTGAGTCGAAGGCTTTTTTGACTCTTCTACCTCTTTTCCTTTAAGCACTACTTCATTCTCAAAAAGGTTATTGATACAGGTTTACAAATACTAATTACCATAATATTGTACCTAAAATACCAGAAAATTTGACAAAATCAGCTACTATTAAAATAGCAGCAGCAATGAAAACAGTATCTGCTTATTGTGAAACCACGTCACTTGAAGAGTCACTGTAACTGGGTAATAATGACAGATCTGACCTGAGCACGTGAGAGAGTCCAAAGAGTAAATCAGCATAGAATTTTAGCACTGTAGGTATACTGATACCTGTAAGCTGGGCTTATAAAAACTGTTTTTGTTCCTATAACTAGCTACAGGCATATTTTTATAAAAATCATAAATTTCTGCTGAAACACTGCAAAAAATTTTATAGGAAGTCATTCTGGTACCCCTGACAGCGTCACCCAGTGTAGTCTACACCACCTGCACCTCCCTAGTGATGCCACTGAATCCATTTCATTTTATCCACTTCTCCTTATTGTCTCAACAGACTTACTTTGAAATCAAAGCATTTAAAAGCCTTAGCTTTTACCTGATTCTGAAAACACCTCAATCGAAGAACATTCTACTGTTAAAACAGGAATTGATTCCTTTCTACAGAAAATGACAAATTCTAAACAACTTTCTTGGCCCCTAAAGCTTAAGCGCCCATCTGCACAGTAGTACTCAAATTTGCACTGAAGGAACTGATGGCCAGAGACACAAAAAACAAAGGTCATGGAGGCTGTCTCTACCTCATCATGACTAGGACATAACCAAATGCATTTTTCCCCATTACTAGATAGTTATCCAGTGCCATCGAGTCGATTCCAACTCACAGTGATCCCACAGGACAGACTAGAACAGCCCCTTATGGATTCTAAGGCTGTAAAACTTTATGGAAGCAGACTGCCTCATCTTTCTCCCACGGAGCAGCTGGAAGGTTTGGATCACTGAACTTCTTTTGGTTGACAGCTAAGGACTTAACCACTGCACCACCTAACCTAACTCACTGCCATCGAGTCGGATCCGACTCATAGCAACCCCCCCTCCCTTGGGTTTCCGAGGCGGTAATACTACAGAAGGAGATTGCCCAGTCTTCCTTCCGAGGAATGGCTGGTGGGTTCGAACTGCCAGCCTTCTGGTTAGCAGTCAAATGCCTAATCCACTACACTACCAGAGCTCCCACTGCACCACCAAGACTCCCAGTTTTATGCTATTCTAACTCAGTTAAGGAAAGATAAGCTGTGATGTATCTGAAATAAATACACTGTTAAGCAATAGCAGCAAAACACATCAAATGAATCTTTTAAAAATAATTCCGGACAATATGGAATATATATACCTTATACATTTGTACAAAATTAGCAATTGCATATTAGTTGCAAATGCCTTTAGTACACATTGGAAAGATAAGATTTAATAACAAAAACAGTATTTCCTAAATCTATGATAACTGAATCCCTAATTTCTCTAAATCAAAAAATTCTTGCTAACATGTCATAAGTTGTTAAGTCTCTTATGAATTAAATAAATGTAGCAACTACACAAAATATTATTCTCTGGGTAAGTCAAGTCACATAAAACAGAAGCTCAGAATAACACCATTTGCTATAGAGAGGTACGAGTGTAAAGCAGGGGCCAGTCACCTATTTTTCTAAATAAAGTTTTATTAGAACATAGCCACACCTTTTCATTTCCATATGGTTTATGGTTGCTTTCGTGTTATACCAACAAAATTGAGTATTTGCAACAGAGACTGTAAGGACCACATAGCCTAAAATATTTACTATCTGGACCTTCAAAGAAAACGCTTTCCAACCCTTGGTATAAATAGTAAGCTGGCTAAGGTTAAGAAAACCCTTAATTTTGGGTAGCTTTATCTGTCATTGCAGGACTCAAACAAGGACATCATAAGGAAACTAGTAATAGTAAACATGCATACTAAAAATATGACTCTTTCTAAACAAAGCAACAACAAAAAGCAAGGAAACAAACAAAAATCTCCCAAACCCTCCCAGGCCTACGGCTTACTCTTCAAACCCATCACAAGCCATGGCTGTACTCTAAGAGGATACGCAGGGAGTTTATGCTCCCATGACAGGAATCACCTCTCTTGCTCTCTTCTCCTGGAGTTTCTGCTCCTCTTCTTCTTTCTCTTTTCTCTGCTGTTCTTCCCATTCTTCCTTTAACTTTCTCTTTAAAGGAAATAAAGGAAAACGTAATGTTCTTTCGGACTCACTTTTTAAAAACATTTAACATAAGGAGCAAAGAAATGAAAAAAATTAAATATGCCAGTAAAATGGACAATATCAGTTCTTTAAGTGCAACGTATGTAACTCTTTTAATTTTAACAAATTATCATTGTAGAGAAATATATGCAAAACATTTCAACCATTTTTATGCTTATGTGTAAAATTTAGTGATATGCTATGCAACAATCATCACTATCAGTTTCCAAGTTTTCTCATTACCCTTAACAACTTTTGACCTCTTAAGCAATACTGCCTCCCATTTTCCCATCCCACCCACCCCAGGCAACCACTAATGAACTAATGGTCTCTATGCATTTGCCTATGCTGTACATATCACATAGGTGGGATCATACAATATTTTTCCTTTTGTGGCTTATTGCACTCAACATGATGTTTTCAAAGATCATCCACGTTGCAACATGTATTAGGACTTTATTTCTCTTTATGGTCCAGAAAGATTTCATTGTATGTAAGCAGAACATGTTATTTATCCATTCATCTGTTGATGAACATATAGGCTATTTCCACCATTTGGCTACTGTGAATAATTCTGCAGTGAACATTGGTGTACACATATCTGTTTGCATTCCTGCCTCCAATTCTTTGGGGCATGTACGTGGGGTTGAAGAGGAAAATTAATAAAAGACATCTCATTTTGATTTTAAGGTTTTTCTTATCCACAAACCAAATATTAACCACAAAAAGCCTGCCAGATAACATACTACACAAAAACATTGTTCCACATCCTACTTTGGCGAGTAGTGATTGGGATCTTAAAAGCTTGCGAGCGGCCATCTAGATGCAACGATGAGTCTCTCCTCGTCCAGAGCAAAGAAGAATGAAGAAAACCAAAGATGCATGGAAACAATCAGTCCAAGGAGACTAGTACACCATGCAATCCTCAGCCTATACCACTATGTGACCAGAAGAACTAGATGGTGCCCAGCTACCACTATCAACCACTTGGAGGTGGGTCTACATAGGAGATCCTGGATAGAGCAGGAGAACAATATAGAACAAAACTCAAAATCATTAAAAAAAAAAAGGGGAGGTGGGATGGGGACACCAGGTTTGCTGGTCTGATAAAGCCTAGTCGAACCTAAGACTATGGCCCCTAGCTGCCCTTCAGGCCTGGAATTAAGCCCACTCCCATGGCTTTCAGCCAAACAAAAGACAGGCATATGAGCTGAACATTTACATTAGATAGATATACTCCTTGGACAGGTCAATCATGGGAGAATAGAGGGGCTGTGTATGCACAGGGAGACAGCTCATGGGGCAGGAGTGCATGGAGGGAAGGACACAGGGAAGAGGTGGCTATGGGGAGGGAGTAGGAGGGGAGCTGTTGCACTGTGGGAGATTACAGTCAATGTCATGAAACAAAGTATATGTGAACTGCTGTATAGAAGATGAATTTGCTCTGTAAACTTTCACCCAAATCACAATGAAATTTAAGGGGGAAAAAAAAAGGACTTCCAATAAGATGGAGGAATAGGCAGACAAGCTACACAGACCCTCTTCAACAAAGAAAAGAAACACCAATTGACAGAGATACAGAAGATAATCCTGGAGCCCTGAGCTTTGAAAGGAACTATACAGAAGTGGATTAGGCACCAACTAGTGGAAAAACCTGAACAAAAACCGTGAGTACAGATACAGTTGGAGCTGTGGACCGTCAGTTACTCTGATGGATCCAACAGCCTGAATGTTTCCAAGTGGTGTTGGGACCTGAGAATTGACCTAAACATCAGCCCTGGTCACCAAGGGCTGCAAAGATGACTGCGCTGGTGGCCTATGACTAGGATGGGAAACAGCAAGGAGGGAGACAACCTGAGCTGTGGACTTTGTGCTGTCTGGAGGGCACAGCCATTTTGATTGTTTACACGTGACAGCCATTTTGGATATTTAAAAAGTGACTGAGGGTGCAGCCATTTTGAAGGTTTACAAGTGGTAGCCATTTTGGATATTTAAAGGGACCCAGGGAGCAGCCATTCTGAATCTTTACAAGTGGCAACCACTGGGGATTTTAAAGTGATAGCATTCTCATTTGGATTCCAGGGACCTAAGAATAGGTTTGTTTCCGAAGGTCAGCGGGACATATGAGAGGCTGACAACAGGAAAGGAGACAGGTTCTGAGCGTATAAGTGCTGTCAACTAGCGAATAGAGGAGCACAGTAACCTGCTTGCATAGATAAATACAAACAAAATAAAGAAAACAAATTGTGGACAAGTCATTCCAACATACAATCACCAATTAAATATAAACACAAA